GGGGGGTGATTTAAGGATAAGGACAAAAGAAAAATTGTAATTTGAAGTTGGAAGAGAGTTTTGGAAAATGTTTTCCTTAAGTTTTGAAGGGAAGTCATTTTCCATAAATTTGAGGAAAATGAGTTGATTTTGAAAACATTTTGAAAACATTTAACCCAACCAAACATGAGAAAATTGAAAAACATTTTTCGAAAAATGTTTTCCTTCATACCAAACACGCCCATAGTGTAATTTTTTACTGAGGGAGTTGGAGTGGGGTGAACACTCTCTCCCCTTCTTAATTAGATTCACCCCTATTTGCTACCTCCCATCAACACACATATAAAGTATCTCTATCCACCAAAGTTAGAGGCAGATGGGAAGAAATTATTTATAACAACCTCTATTTCATATTACTTGACACAACCTTTAAGAAAGTCGACTAAACTAATATTATTAATGATGTTTCAGAACTTTAAATTTGACTTACTACTACTTTATGTAGTTATTTAATATTAAAGGTAGTATGGAAAAAAAAACTCTCCTGATTTGCTAGAATGGACAAGTAAAATGAAAATTTAACTTTTAATGCAAACTCCAAGTATATAATAAAACAAAGGATTACAATTTATTATCTTTACTGAAATTTAAATCTGAGATCAACCTTATAGTTTTTTTTTGTTGCTAATTTTATTAATATCTAGGGCAAAATCCACAAACTCAAATGCCGTTTTGGTTATAATGCATATGATATTATTCATGACCATTTTTTAATTAGCCTTGGTTGTTCCCCCTCTCCCCCAACTGCATAGATCCGTTCCGGAGTACAGAGTCACTTTTATTAAAGGAGTGTTTTACCTCGTAATATGAAGCTTTTTAGTATGAATTTAAATTTAGTCGAACTCCAAGATGGATATCAGACACCGAATGAAAAATTAAAAATAATAATTATATTATTTTGGACAAGAAATATTGATCGAATGAACCATTAATCTAATTTTCTCTCTATGCTGGTTGTTCTTTTTTCCCTTTTGTTAACTTTTTCTAAACAAATTTTTATTAAAAAAATATTTTTTCTTTATCCGAAATAATTTTTATTGTAGTTTCTTTTATTGACTTCTTCACCGTCATATTTAAATATGATTGTCTTTCTTAAAAGGTATAATACATAAATTGGACCCTAAACTTGGCTTCAAATTTTAAGTATGACCTCAAACTTTCAAAGTGCACAAGTAGGCACTTCAACTATCCAATTCTTAAACAAAAACACGCGAATCCAACCTGGCATAACGCGTGATTGAGACGCAATTTAGGCACGTCAGGGGTATTTTTCGAGGCCCACAACAGTAAAAAAAAAAGAAGCGGAAATGACAATTTTACCCTTAATGAATCCCTTTTAAATATATCTTTATTTTTTTCAAATCAAAATCCCATTTTTCTTCTTCTTCTTCCTAATTCTAGTACTCAAGCTTTTTTTCTCTTTTTGTGCACAATTTCTGGTCGTTTTTTATGTAATGGCTTCTAATTTTTTTTGTCATTGTGTAAAAAGAGCTATAATGAAGATTTCTTGGTCTGCAAATAATTCAGATATAAAAAAAAGTGAATTTGCATTCATGGTGACAGTTTCTACCAAAAATAAACTTTCAAAAAGCAAAAATTAACATAACCAGACTAAATTGAGGAAGAACAACACATAAACATCCAAAAGATAAGAACTTAGCTTTGACCACAAATCTTCACAATTTTACTTTGATTTGCAAAGAAATTAGGGCTAGGGCTCCGCTGATGTTGAGTGAAAATCGAGCAAATTGGGAAAAGAAATACGACCCTACCCTTTTGTATTTTAATTTCTTCTTTTTTTTAATTATAAAATACGTGTAATTTTTTAAATTACGTGGCAGCCACTGAGTGGCTCAATATGCCATGTAGGAGCGTTTGTATATCACACAATTTGGTTGTTGGATTCGCGTGTTTCTTTGTTTAAGAATTGGATAGGTAAAGTGCTTACTTGTGCACTATGAAAGTTAGAGGTCATACTAAAATTTGAAGCCAAGTTTAGGGTCCAATTTATGTATTATGCCTTCTTAAAACAAGTGTTAAATTTGTGCACTTAAATTTTGTGATTGATAGCTAAAGGAGCACCCACAACCTTAAAATCCTGGATCTGCCATTGGTTATAACCCATGAATATTTTGGTGATATAACTTCTAGACGATTTTTTTGTAAAATCTTTAAGGAACCCTTCGCTGAGTCGAAGCAACTCTGTGCTATTTTTGCAGATGTCGCAAAATAACTAAACCTGGTAGCTTTGATCTCTCATCTAGGAGAGAGCCAAATGGCGTTGATCCGTAGGCAGTTGGGTGAGCAGTACGTGAAGTCTCACCATTTTTTGGACACATTTAAATTGGTTGGGTAACTTTTTAAGTGAAACATCAATAGTTGAGTGACTTTCTAAGTGAAATACTAGGGGTGTCAAATGGGCGCACTAGGTTGAAATTGGAGATATTAAAATGGGTTGAATAGAAATTTAGTTGGGTTATGACCCGCCTAAATTTACTTGAGCTCAAATGAATTGGGCTCAAATGGGCTAAAAATTGGGTTGGGTCATGACCCGCTTAATTTCAATAATTTTAACGTATTGTTATTTACATTTTATAATCACAATTTGAATTTCAACTCAATTTTTTTTTTACAAGTGAATAGATAAATCCTAGAAGATATAAATAGATAGGAATTATACCTTAATATGAGAATATACATTACACCAATGCAAAATAAAGAGTTTTAAAACATGTTGGAATTGGAGATTAAATTGGGCTCAATTGAAGATTCTTTTAAAATGGGTTAAGGCTTGAATGAGTTGAGATTGAGCCCAATTTAAATTATCTTGAGTCTAACCCATAAAATTCTGAGTGAGTTGTGTGGGTTAACTATATTTTGCCTCATTTGACACCTCTATGAAATACCAATAGTTGAGTAACTTTCTAAGTAAAATACTAATAGTTGAGTAACATAGAATGATCATATGAAATATTATATTTTTGCTATCAGATACACTAACATAGAGAGGGAGGGAGGTGAGCGAGATGTGGAGGGAGGCGAGCGAGATAGTTATGTATCACAAATGTACGCAAATCACACTAGACACACAATAGAATGTATATGAACATATCTAGTGTGATTCACATATATCTGGGACAATACTAGAGACATAAAAAGGTGGCGAGAGAGATGAAAGGGACGCGAGCAAGGAGCAATATTTGTTATGCACCCAAATACATGTGAATCCACTTCTTTACAATGTATTTAAAATAAATTACACTTAATTTTGATCCCATGTATAAGAAGATACATGTATATGTAGACGTACCAAAATCTGATTGATTTGTATCACAGATGCACGCGAATCACATACATGTATTTGTATGTACTAGTGTGATTTACATGTATCTAGGATACTAGATACATAAGAGAGTGAGAGCGAGATGGGAGGGAGGCGAACGAGATTTGTTATGTATCTAGATACATGTGTATTCACTTGGATACAGTGTATCTAGAACAAGTTACACCTAATTTTGACCCTATGTATAGCGAGATACATGTATCTAAACGTATCTAGACGCATCAAAATCTGATAGGTGGAATGAAAATCCATATGATTTTCTCTGCATTTGTATCATATATATATATATATATATATATATATGTTATTATTATTATTATTATTTTATTTTATTTTTTTTGATTGATATGATAAAAAAAATTTCCATTTAATTTCCAGGCAATCATAGGAACAACAAGTGAAGAACAGATTGAGCTGGCTAGAAATTTGAAGATTTCTTGTGCAAAAATTTAGAACAAAGGCCAGCTTATGATGCTATCTTTTTATTTTCTGTTATGTTATTTCTTCAAAATTCTCTTTGGGAAGTGAGGAGACTAAGTACTAGACTAAATTTTTCTGGTTGATGCTGTTTGGGATAGCTGTTTAGTAAATGGTTTTCTTTTTAGTTCGTTTGGAAACTTATGAATCTTTTTTATTTTAGTCTAAAGATTTCTTTTAAGCAAATTGAAAATTTTATGAAAAAAATTATTGGAATAATTTTAATCTAAGCTTTCTTAAATTGTTGCAAACATTAGATAAAAATCTAGTATTTGTAGTTATTTGTCATGTGTAGAGAAATGGTTGAATATCTGATTCATATTACTCATCATAAAATATGAATTATATATCGGTATCTACCAACCATACTCCTCTTGAAGTATGGCAGGACATTGTAGGAACCTCTAAAAGGTATATAATTATTAAGGGTGTGTTAGGTATGATCTTCAATTTTCTCACCTTTGTCCCAAATGTTTTGGAAAATAGTTTTAAAATGAAATTGTTTATTTTTCTAATTTATGACTTTCCTACTTAAAGTTAAAAAAACGCTATCCAAAACTCTCTTACTCCACTCCCAACCCCAACTTGAAACCTGACTCCCTATCTCGTCCCCAACCCTAATTTCCAACTCTGATTCAGGACAAAACTTCTTGCTCAGGATCTAACTCCTTACTCCATATCTTGACTCGAAATTCAAATCTTGACTCAAAACCCGATTCATGATAGGCTGATACAAATTGTTCTGAAAAATATTTTTCACTCATCAACCAAACATAAGAAAATAAGTTAGAAACCAACTTGTTTTTCAAGAAAATATTTTCTAATGTTCAGTTGGTGAATAATAACATTTTATTGTTATCCTTCTTAAATTTCACTTGTAAAATTATATTGATTACGTTGTTATTATTGTCGTTGTAAATGCAAACTCTAGCTAATATATATATACCCTAACAATTCCACCATATATATAGAGATAGTTAAGCAGGTTAACTCACACTTATATTGACTACTAGATATGAGACCCCGTGCTAGCACGGGGCCCAATATATGTTACTGTTTCTGTTTTAATTTATGTGGTACATATGAAATTTGAAGTTAATCAATTTTTTAGTATGTTTTTATATATTTTAAGTTGCTAATTATTTTTATTTAGAGTATATATTATAAATCACAATAATTAACAAGTTAATATAATAAGAAACTTATAAAAAATTCATTGACTTTTGAAATTTCATTTGTATCACATAAATCAGGACAAAGTGAGTAATATATATGAAAATTACATAAAACGTACTATAACTCACAATAATTAGCAACTTAAGTTAGTTTCAAATATATAAAATTTAAATTTTAAATCCATCATTAATAATTGTCACATCATATACCAAATATGTATTGACCACCACATGGAATGTTATTCTCTTTATTTTATTAACGGAAATTTTATGGCATTAAATGATATGGATCAATATATATAATGTTCTCTTTTTTAAAAAAAAAGAATAAAAATTTATATTTTAGTTATTGACATTGTAAATTTTAACTTAATTTGGATATATAATGGAAAAGGAATCACCATTTAAGGAATCATTATTTTTAAATTTTTGGATAATTTCTTCTTCTAAAAGTTTCTATCCATATGTAACAATAAAGTTAAAATAGAAAATGTAGTGACACCATTCTTAGTAATAGATACTTATTTATTCTTATCAATTTTTTCTGACAATTTTGATTATATTTTTCTTTAAAATAATTATTGCCTCGATTTTTATTTT